AACATGAGGAATAATGGGGGTTTTGTGAGCTTAATGAAAACGAATAATGAATATATACTATCATAATAAAAAAAGTGACAAGGTGAATGAAATAATGGCTGTCAGGGAGTCATTATGAAGTAAGGAACTGTATTCTCCACATATAAATCATTAAATTTACAAATAATAGTCGACACTTAAATGTGACTGAGATTTTAACTACTGATGTTGTGATGGATGAAAAACAAACAGTAATATATACTACTTATACATGATAACTGGACATAATGGCATGGTTATTGCAGTGAAGTGATGACATGGTTAACAGTCGGGTATCATTTACAAGCTGGTAAAGCAGTGGACTAGTAATCCATAGACCACTGGTCTGAATCATGCATCGACCCAGATTCCCATTTAACCTTCAGTCATATTCTATCAGTAACAGTCAATCAGTCCACGATTATCTCAGTCTCACTGTTACTTTCATTTATTAGTAAATTAATGTCATTTATGATGCATAAGTACTGGTCTTAAGGGTATGCGCTTATAGTTATACCAACTTAATTATTTCAGTAGATAACCTGAGTGACATATTCACTGATGGCTTTTATTTATTCAGTCAGTTGTTTTATTTCATGAAAACATGGTGATAACTCCATTATGGATAAGATTTTATTTTGATAAATCGCACAGTGTTGTACAGTAATATTATCTGATAACGTTTCGAGCACAAAATATTGCTCACAATCATATCAAGTTACTCACACAACTTTTTTCTTTCATTTATATACATGTGTGGAATCGATTAGATATTGGAATAAAATTCAGTATGAGATAATGTGCATTCAGAAACAATGATACGAGTGTTATTGGTCAATAACAATTAGATGGGAAATAAGACCAGTGTTTTTATATTCAAAATAAGTAACTTGTTAGAATGTTATGATGTACGTGAACTGAAATAGAATTTTTAGATTATTTACTATCCTCTTCTGATTTAACTGGTGGTTATAATATCTTCCATATTTCTGGTATTTCCATTGAGTCATTTCTGTTGCATATGTTGGGTGTAGACTCAATGAATCAGGATTTAGTAATCAACCTCTCTCTCCACCTACCTAGATTACTTTTTAGAATTTTAACAGTCTCCCACTCTATTGTGAGATTGTGTGTTAATGCATGCATTGCAATTGCTGAGCTTTTTTCTAAATTACTTATCTTCTCTGGGTCAACCATTCTTACCTTAGCTAAATTCTTATGTTCTGACAATCTGACTACCCCTGACCTACTAGTTTGACCTATGTAGTTGACCTCACAGTCATTGCAGGGTATTTTCTAAATTATATTATTTTGTTTAATTGGGTCCACCGGGTCTTTTAGCCTACAGAGCTTGTCCGCGAGTGAGTTTGTAGGTTTAAATGCCACCCTAATTCCTGCTTTATTAAGAATCCTACATAGGGTCTCAGATGTCCCCTCCTTATATGGTATAAAAGTAGATGCCTTATATTCTCTCTTATTTATGTTATCATTATTAGTTTCACCATTATTTTTTTCGTTATTGACCTTTTTTGATATTCCTAATGAATTCTATAGGACAGTTATTCAACACCGACACCTCTTCTATCTGTTTCATTTCATCATTTAGGTCTTCTTTTGTACTACTTCGTGCTATTGCTCGGTTTATTAGACACCTAACTAAGCCAGATTTTACAGACAACGTATGAGATGAATTAAAGTCTAAATATCTATTAGAATGCGTTGTTTTCTTTATAAACTCTAGTGTGCAGTTTACCTTATTTTGTTCGTTAGATTTTACAACCTAACGGAGCCAGTTCTCCTCGTTCATTTTCTGATTCAAATGCAAATTGTATTCCCTTCACTGGTGAGCTTATATGCCTCAAGAAGCTAGAAATATGTTCTGTTTCTAACACTGTGAAAGTGTCATCCACGTATCTCCACCATATTTTTGGAGTAAAATTAAATGTATTTAGAGCAATATATATATATATATATATATATATATAGGTAGGTGGAGAGAGAGGTTGATTACTAAATCCTGATTCATTGAGTCTACACCCAACACATGCAACAGAAATGACTCAATGGAAATACCAGAAATATGGAAGATATTATTACCACCAGTTAAATCAGAAGAGGATAATAAATAATCTTAAAATTCTATTTCAGTTCACGTACATCATAACATTCTAACAAGTTACTTATTTTGAATATAAAAACACTCGTCTTATTTCCCATCTGATTGTATTTGATCAGTAACACTCATATTATTATTTCTGCATGCATATTATCTCATATTGAATTTTATTCCAATATCTAATCGATTCCACACATGTATATAAATGCAAGAAAAAAAGTTGTGTGAGTAACTTGATATGATTATGAGCAATATTTTGTGCTCGAAACGTTATCAGATAATATAACTGTACAACACTGTGCGATTTATCAAAATAAAATCTTATCCATAATGGAGTTATGCTCTACCATAGTGCCCAAGTTTTATACTTATTTCAAAACATGGTGATGTTGACGCACAGTAATCATTCATCATGTTTACAATGAGAACTTTCTGCTGACGCACATAACATGTATACATATTTTCATCTGACCTTATGGCTTTCATATTCTAGACCTAGTGCCTTACAAAGTATAAAGTTGTTATTTCACTTGTCGAATAAGGAAAATCCCAGCTTAACTTTAACCTACTGTGATTAATGCCACACAGAAATTGTAGTTAAGCAAGTGTTACAATTTCATAAATGGTCTTATTACGAATTGATACAGGTTTGAGGTGTCACTATCTTCCGACAGCTACACAGTCTGTAGTAATCTGCTTTTAAAGTAAACCGCTGCTTATACTCACATTTATAGGAAAAATCCGTTGGTTCAGTACTAATAATGAGAGGTAAAGGAAAGTGATTGTGATTATCGTTCGTAATGATATAAGACTATCTGATTTACTAAGTCATGTTCAATGAAACAACGCCATACTTCTCTTTAATGTTGGAAGTCATATTTAGGGTAGTCTTGAGAGGCTTTTAAAAGCAAAAATGTGCACTTCAGATGTACGTCAATCAGTTTAGTGGTCACATTGGACAATGGGTTGATAGATTTTGATTAATACAAAAGCAGAAAACTAGATTCATTACCATTATTCATGTAATTTGTTTGCATTGCTTACTTTTCGTAACCTTTCTAGTTTTTAGATTATATTAATCTATTTGAGGTTGTTTTTATCTAACATCTGTCAGAAATTCGGACACTGTGATATTATGTGATTCCCTGTATAAGTTGCTTTACTATGTGGACCACACAATCGTATAATTATATACATTAAATTGTGTTTGAAACACCATCTGGTATATGACCTTGTTTCATTGCATTATCTACATAATAAACAAGCAAACGTAGAATTTCAGTGTGGATTTCGTCACAAACTAACGGCAGTTACAGGGGTCACTGAAAACTAGGGAGCATTGGACATTTGTTTCGTCCGAGTTTGGGACTCTTCAGCTATACGTTTTAACGACATCACTAGGAATCCAGTCAGGGACTTTCAAGTTAAGAAGCCATGCTCGCTTATTAATCAGTCATTTGAGCCGAGATTCAGTTACCCGTGAACTTCAACCTTATCAGTTTGTGATATAGCGCTAGTGCCAGTCGATGCCACCGATGATCATAGAATCCTTTTTCATCACTTTGAATAAAAATACATTTAAAGAGCTGTTACAAATGTCTACTCATTCCATATTATCCATTATATGATTCAGTGAAAATATAGACACAAATTTAAAATGGTAGCAACAGGTTCTTCGTCTGCATATTGTAGAACCACATGCTCCAACAATTAAGCGAAATCATTTCAAGTAGGAATAAACTACGTAAACTGGTCATGGGGAATGCTTTGTTTGTAAAGCTGAAATCAAAAACAAAGTTGCTTTTAGTCTTAGTCGAGTAGTGCTTCTAACAGCCCTGAATGCTTTTATTAAGTATCGCCTACTTTCCGTATTATTACTATCTACCCTACAGAATGAATTAATTTTAACAGATTTTCCTATAACTAGTGGAAAGTTATATTAGATGCAGCATTTGGTGTTTCAGCTTTATTAAAAATGGATGCTTGATTTAAGTTATAATTCGTCACTAAGGAAAAGAGTGTGAAATCAAATAGGAACTATCCATTATTCAAAAATACAAGCGAGCTTAAATTTATGATATTAAATCATGGTGTATTATGAAGTCACAGGTACTCAGAGAACGAATCCCCTCTTTTTCTTTACTTATCCTTAGTCTTCGGTTAGTCAGTGAGTTGTCTTAAGATAATAACAATAACTGCACAGGAATCTTACTATGATATCATTTCTCTGTAGCTTTCTATATGTTTTACATGCAAATGAGGTATTAATGCGAGGTTAAAGTGTAGGATTTAATCTAATACCTCCAAATTATCTGGTGATGTACTCATTTTGTGGATTCGGTAGATTCAAAAACTAATCTTTTATGTCTTAGCATTGTTTATCTCACCCTGAGATCTTATGTGCGTCGATATTACAACAACATAAAGATTTTCCACTGATATACAGTAATCCTTCACATTGTTATATATAGTTTGGATAGATTATATGCGTCCGTCTCACATGTATCAACTTTTAATTCTTTCTAGTTATGCATGATTCAATTTTAATTCTAAAAATTCCTATAAGTTGTCGGTATCATGATTTCTACATTCAGATATGTGAATTACTCAGTACACTATCATTCCCACAATTCACCAATGCTTAGCTTTTTAAACAGCTTTTTTGTTCAGCCAAATGTGACCTCCACGAGGAATAACTGCTTATTCTCATAAAACTGGTTTCATTAGGTTGTTATCAAGATTTTTGATTCCATATATGCATACAATAAGATGATGGAATTTCTGTTTAACTCAGTCATAATAATATATATTTAATACGAAATCTGACCAATAAACATTTGACATTTTTCTCAAGGTCAGTTAACACCAGTTTAACAAGCCAATTTAAATCATTTAAAAACTGCATAGATGAATTAAAACAGTTTAAGTGGTTATTTAACATAAGGAGTGGCTGACCTGAAACTTATTATTTTTTTGAAAAGATTATTTGTGTCCTAATTCTTCTTATACACAACGAATCAATTATATTCATAGACGTATTTATCTACAAATGGAAGTATGATCTGCAAGAGTTGAAAATCTTGTGGTGTGATGTACACAATCTGTTAAACCATTTCGGACAAAATATTATCCAAGAGGATATTGTATGTTGTAAATAAATAAATATATAAATAAATAAGTACACATGACTGTAGAGAATATTGAATTTAACTTTCTCATGCCTACTCTCCAAATATTTTGCTGGAGTTTAATGAATACGCCCATATTGGCGTTATGCATTGAAAGACACAATGTGACTATGATATTTTCATTATCGATCCTGCAGTGAGATTCCTAAATGTTTCATTGGCAAAGCGTAAGTGTTGTGTGTGGATAAATTTATAATTAATATTGTTTCAAGAAATTCTATAATTTAGTAGTTGATTTATGTTAAATGCTGAACTATGTTGCGGGTGAAGCTTTTACTATTTCTAAGGTTTTACAGTGTGTTGGGAATAATACCATATTTGCAGAATTTTTTATTTCTGGACTCTTCAGAATGAACCCGCCTTAAGCATTTTACGGTTTTAATGCCAATTTGAAATAGTAGCTCAGAATTCCATTCCTAAAGGCTACCATTTATCCTATTCAAAAATCGTTTATATTTATACAACTTAACTCATTCTGTATTTGTCGTCACTAGTCTCAGTAATTTTGTTTTCATATAACCCATTGCCTATTATGCTGTAAGTGCCCTTCGTGATTACGTTTAAATCGACAACCACCTCAATAGGTAAATTATTGTTCCGCAATTAATAGTGTTCTCTGAGCTGGTTGGTTTAGTTGCGGAGCTTTCGTCGTCCTTCTCGACAACATCTTCACCACAATATTTAGCATAAAGTGAAATGATTTAAATTTCTTCATGAGTGATATAATTGCATCTCCCGGTAACCATCTTTACATATGTACTGACCATTTTCTATTGACTTGGATTTTAAACTTTCTGGTCACCTGATTTACTTTTTATTAGTTGGTATATTTCGTCTATGTTAACGTGTTTGTTAATTGCATTTTCGTTTGAGTACCAGGCTTCTAGGAATTCCTTGGCACTTCTATCGATTCATGAATCCAATTTTTAGAGAAAATCAAAAGCATTCAAGTAGAAGACAATGAAATAATGGTGTCCTTTGATATCACAGCATTGTATACTTCAATTAATCCAAAACTAGCAACAGAAACTATGCAACAATTACTCTATAGTGATGAAAACATAAAAACGCAATGTTCAACTTGGATAGGACTCATAAAATTATGCCTTACAACATTCTTCCAATTCAATACTCAAATATATGAAAAAATAAAAGGAACACCAATGGGATCGCCCATATCAGGATTAATAGCTGAAGCCGTTATGCAAAGATTAGAATTAATAGCTCTACCTATAATTAAACCGAAAATCTGGGTACGTTACGTTGATGATACATTTGTAATAATTATGAGAAATGATTTAGAACATATCCATAAATTAATAGACAACATGTTTGAAGACATCAAATTCACAAGAGAAGAGGAATTAAATAACAAAATCCCATTTTTAGATGTCTTAATCAGGAAAACCAACAAAGGAAATTTAGAAACACAAGTATATAGAAAATCAACGAACACAGATCAAATACTCAACTATACTAGCAATAATCCAATTACTCACAAACTAAACTGTGTGCAGACATTGTTTAAAAGAGTCCAAACACATTGTAGCACTCCAGAGTAGAAAAGAATGGAAGTAAAGTACCTACAAATGGTCTTCAAAAAGAATGGCCATCCACAAAATTTCATCAAAAAGTGTTTAAAGTCGAATCAAAACACCAACAAGAAACCATCATCAAAAACCACCAGAAAATTCTTCCTACCATACATGAGAAATATCTCTGAAATAACAGCTAGAATACTGAACCCGTTTGATATAGATATAGCACACAAGCCAGTAAAATCCCTTAATTCGATATTATGCAAACCAAAAGATCCAACAGAAAAAGGGGATAAAATTAATACCATTTACAAAATAAATTGTTCGAACTGTAACAGGCATTATATCGGCCAAAGTGGGCGTCCCCTTCGAACTAGAATGCAGGAACATAAATCAGCCGTGAGAAGACACGATATATAATCTTTAGTATCAATGCATATAGACAATTATGGACATCAGTTTGATTGGGGTAATGTCGAAATCTTAGACAGAGGAAACACCAAAAGTGCCAAGGAATTCCTAGAAGCCTGGTACTCAAACGAATTTACTTTTGATATGCTTTTTTATTCCTTCACCTTCCCAGTGGGACATAGGGCTTCAAGCTATAGGCTTGAAGTTTCTGTAGCAGTGTTTATTTTTACAGGAAGAGGTTGCTAGCCTCATGTTCAACCTTTCCTCTTTGCCAGCTTTATTTCTGGCTTAGCGAGGTAAAGGAGTGCGTCTGCCGGGTATCGAACCCCGGACCATGTGCATGGTCGGCAAGCGTCATAACCGCTATGCCACCGACGCACTTTGAAATGCTTAGTGCAATATAATTATGAAGAAGTGAGTGTGCTACTGTTCTCCTGCTGGTTGAAAAGAAAGTAAAAATTTCTGCAATATACACATTTGGGAAAATGACGCCAAATTTTGACTTTTTATAATGAAAATTAGTTCGAGATAGTTCATCAAGAAACTGAGATGATTCTGTCTAGTTTATGAAATATTTGTAAGTCACTAGTTTAAGAGGTTTGTAGTGTACTCATTTGAATTCGTTGTTTAGCTATATCTCATTCTATATGTGTATTATACAAGTAGATCCTTCTGAGAAATTTAAATAAAAATAGCATAAGCTAAATCTCGGCTTCTAACCGATAAATTACATAAATTTTCTGCCTATAACAACACTTTTTTCACTTTTTTTGTTTTATTTAATTATTGAAATTAGAAATGGCAGAATTTATGATTTCCATTCTATGAATACTATACGAAGTAACTGTATTTTTGAATAAAATATAAGTGCATGGTATGAAATTAATTCTAGTGTTCCAAAACTGACTGTTTAGGGCCCTACCTAAATTGTAGTAGTGGATATCACAAACTCACATGGTTGACTTCTTAAATCAGTAATTCTAAATATTTACTATCTATTTGCAGCTTCAAATCTGAGATGAATTTACATTTTTCTTATTCTGTGTTTTATAGTGGGCTGTAGAATGACGTCAAATATGATATATAGCAGTGAATTCCATAACTCACTTTCCACTCTATTTAAGGCTCGTCAGCTGGATGTACTCTTACTGTTTTAAGTGATAGTGTTATTATTAAGAGTTGAATCCGGCACTCACCGTTTCAAACGTCAGTGCTTTATCTATAAGATTACTGATCCACGAAAGCAGTTCCTTGTGGAATAGATATCATCTATGTTTTTAAATTATTTTATTTATTCAGACCGTATTTATTTGATCATCATTACTAGATGGGCATTTTTAGATGGATGCCTTTATGCTGTCTTGAACTTCAGTCTGATGACACTTGTTCTCTCGAAGCCCTATCTATCTGAGTTTAGATAAATCAACAACTGTAAATTACAAGTAGAAATAAAAAGTTGAAGTTAAACCTATTCTTCTAAAGCAAAACTTCATATCTTAATAATGAAAAAGTTGAAATCAGCGCCCACTTAAATGTAGTTTACGATTTGTTACTGTATGTGAATAAGTAACCTGTCGTATTACAAATCATTGCTTAGTGAACATAGAAGAAATTAATGGGGAATTGTAGTTGGATTTTATGTTTACTATAGGAAATTTATATATAGAAAAGTAACATTTAAAACTTTCTCGTCTTTTTAAAGGCCTAATAAAACCAAACAGAATAATCAATAAATACCGAGTGATCGACTGCAATAATAAATGCTGTACTGCATGTACTATAAAAAATAAAAAAATGAAGTTGTCGTTAAGTGTCAGGTTTCACATGCATACTACATTTCATAAGGTCTTACCTAAGAGAATTGTGTACTTTATCAATAACAACTTCTCTATGTACCAGAGAATCTAATTATCATTATTATTCAAGTACTTTTGATGCATATCATTAGTATGACATATGACTCTCTCCAGTCCGATAAGTTTTGACTAAATGGAATATTCATTCAGAATAACACAAACAGAAGTACCCAAATAAACATTATAGTAATGAGACATAGTTAAATTTAGCTGACTTTCTAAGGATTTTCAGAAATGTTTTTATTTAACATTTTTATTGAATCAGGTTTTAGCATAGCTAACAATGTACAGTATATTGTGTCAGTCTTCCGTGGTTCGTAGTATGATATTGTGGCGTGTGCTACTAATATGATTTATTAGTAGTGTGTATATATAAAGAGATGTTCATCGGCCCAGAAAAATCAAATAACAGGGAGATAGATTTGACGTCAGAGAAGGCAAACGACTGAGCTTTGCGGAGACACATGGGAGACGTGAAAAGCGCACAAAGAAACACAATTTTTGTAGCGCAGAAGTAGCACAACACGGAAGATCTGTGCAAATGGTGCGTTGAAGATAAAGTGTACATAATTTCACTACACAGAGATATCGAATTGTTCCATTAGCGAGTCTTTCGTCTTCTATCATTATGACTTTGATGTGTTACGTAACTTACTTTCACTACAGACCCACCAAACGAAGAGAAAAATGGCAGAAAAGGTGTAACTGCCGTAAAAAGTATTAGAACAACTTGGAAACTATAAACAGGTTTCCCAAACAAGTATTTTCTGAGTCTCATCAGATTCAGCGAGTAAATTTTGAAAATTTCTCACAAAAAATGATACATTCAAGCGCAGTCTACCGTTACGATCAAAACTAGCACAACTGCTCAGAAAAGATTTTAGGCAAATAAATAACTACCAGGTGTAATCAGATATAGGAAATTTGAATCAAAATATGGATGTAGATGAGAGGTAGACAGGAAATGCAAAGAATGAAGTTGATCATTTTAAGTGAAATTGATGGTGAGACAGTCTGAGACGTCCTCAGATTGACAAACTTCCAAAGATGTAATGGAGAATGACCGAAATTAAAATAAAAATCTGGGTTACTTCAGGAATTGAGCCAGCAGTCTCCTGATTACCAGAGCAGCGCTCCATCAGCTAAGTTATAAGATCTGGCTGCTAACCAAGTCATTATTTCACTATGACTATAACGAGTAACGCTTGGCTCTTATACGAACAGATAGAAAGAAGGTCACTGTCCATCTATCTGAAAATATCATGAAAACTCAAAACTACCATGAACCATTTGTTGTGATTGATAGGCTTCATTTTGTAAGCAGTAGTGAAGATGCTGTCTGGAAAGACAATGAAGACCTTT